CGGTATTGCCAGAGACCTCGGCCATAACTAAATGCAGTCTTAGGTTTATCTGCTTCAGCCATTTTCACTTGGCAACAAGAGTATCCTCAATTCTTGGGAGTGGGTACAAGTTTTTTTCAGTTATACTGTTAAGAGCCCTGAAGTCCATACAGCAACATTGGGTCCCATCCTTTTTGTGGATTAAGATGACGGAAGCTGACCAGGGACTATCTGATTTCTCGACTATCCCTTCCCTAATTAGGCCATCCATGACCTTCTCCATCTCTTGTCGCTTTGCTGGAGCTATTCTACTCAGAGGGATCTTTATTGGACAGTGATTGCCTGTGTTTATTCTGTGCTCTACAAGGTCTGTTCAGCCGAGGTCATGATCACTTTTCGAAAAGACGTCTGCATAATTCGCCAAAGTTCCCTCACCTGAAGAGCCTGTGATGATGACAAATGGACTATGCTCTTCTTATAGGGGTCAGTTAAATGTTCTCGGAGAGGATGTCCTTTCTTTATGGTCGTATTTCTTGCCTTAACATTGACTGGCACCACCTCCTGGCAAACACCCAACAATGCCCCTTCCTTAAGTGTCTGCTCACATTTAGAGAATTTGGCCACTGTTATGAGTACTACTTGATGACCTGTCACAAGAGACCTTCCAATCTTCACATTCACTGGCCTGGATGGGTCTTCTACTGCTTCCACAAGCATTGGGCTTCCTTAGGGATGTTCTTTTATTCTACCCCAAATTATCTTCTCTGACATAGAGGGTTTTGTAGTTGACTTAAGTGCTGTGACATACAAATCAACAGATGCAGCAACACTTGCTGGAATTTGGTTTTTGTTGTTCCCAGTCGTCATTTTATCAAAATTAACTACACACTTTCTCGGTAGTAAGTAGTTCAACCCTAATATGATTGGTCTTCAATGTCAGCCAGTATACTTTGTGTCTGTCCTTCATGCCTATGAGCTCAATAGTTACCCACACTGGTCCCCACAACCTTGCATAATGTCCTGTCACACCACAGAGTTTCTGTATGGCTTCTGGTACTCCTTTGTGATCTAACACCTTGATGTTCACAAGGGTTTGCTGAGATGCAGAATCTATGACAAAGTTGCATTCTTGGCCATCCAGCTTTCCTGTCATGTAAACACTATTTGTGCTTGCCATTTTACACTTAACTGTTGGGACTTTCACAATGGAGGTTGGTGGGCGTCCCTCAACACCAACCACTACTGGTTTCCCAAAGCTGACTTATTTGTTGTATTCTTTTTACACTGGCTCCTCATATTTCCTTGCTCTCCACAGTTCCAACAACCTTTCTGGGTAGCAGCCTTTCCTGCCGTGGCATCTTTCCTGTGTTGAAGTTGCTGGCTTTGAGCTCGCATGTGCCCTGGTTTGTTACAGTGCCAGCAAAGTCCCTTAAACTTCTTTGAAAGCTGCCCTTTTCTGGCCTTGAATCCTGATGACTGTACCAACCATGGTACCTCTGTGTTGGACTTAACATAGGATTCGAGTTCAGGAGCTCTGGTCATTGCATCCTGTATAGTAGAGGGGGTGTGTTTGTTTTACTTGTATCTTCAGTTGTGGACTGTCCAAGGCATCTACAAACTGATCCCTCAGCAACAGCTTGAGGACATCGGGTGGTGCAGTTGTGTAGGCCTTGTTTGCTATACTTTTCAAGTCCTGTGCCAGCTCTTGCAAGCTCTCCCCTTTAGCACGAACTCTAGTCCTAAACCTAGCCCTGTAGACTTTGGACTGATTTTGAATTTCATACTTGAGTTCTAGAGCAGCTACCAATGCTCTGTAGTTGTGCCTGTCGTCTGCTGACAACTGTCCAAGTATATCCAGTGGTTGTCCCTTCAGGCTCGTTGCCAGGAACACTGCTTTCTTCTCCTCTGTCCATCCATTCATTTCTGCCAGAAGCTCAAATTGTGCTCTATATGCTTCCCACGGTGCCTTCCCATCGAATTCCTGTGCCTTCCTTTATACTAGATCACCCCTATTCCTGACACTCATGTCTGGAACGTGATTTCTGGCAGGACTGAAAATGTCTGCATTAGGGATTAGCTGCGGGGTCTGGAAGAGGCTTCCTGTTGTCTGGGACTGATTAGGTCAAAGGCTAATATATTCTCCTTCTGTAAAATACAGTAAATCATCTTTTAATGTATCTAATTCACTTTGAAATTTACTAATCTTTTCCATTTGTGTACGCTGGCTTTCTCTCAACTGTTGGAGACTTTCTTCCTGTTTCTTTTCTTGTTCTTCTTGTTTCATTTCTTGTTCCAGTTGCCACTGGTGCTTTATTTCTTACCACTGCTGTAATCTCTGTTCTTGTTTATTTTCTTTCTCCTCCAACCACTGCTGTAATCTCTCTTGTTGTTTAATTTGCTGTTCTTGTATTGCTGCCATCAAATCTGCTAAGCTGTAGTTTGATTTGTCACTTCTCGTCTCCATCTTCTTTTTTCTTTTCCATCCCATTTCTGACACCGATTTGTTAGGTATCTGCTTGTTTGATAATTTCCCGTAAATATTCTTTCCAAGAAACTTCAGCGATACAAGTCCTTTTTAAATTAAAACTAGTTTTTCTTTCTCGTTACAAACTTTGTAATACACTAAATTTCCACAGCCACTTTAAACTTAACTACTTTAATAAACACACGCTATAATTCACATCGATTCACACACTTTACTTATCGTGCCTACTGCTCGCTTGACTCGATTATCTCAATTATCTCTCTTCAATCTATCTACGGGTTATATACTAAAAAAGAGGGCGTCTAGCAAACGCTGGGACATTCATGAGGTTGCCAGGAACAGTCATGATCCTTCTAGAAATTCCAGCTCGCATGCTCCCAGCGTCGCGTGACTTCCGCTGTCGTAACATTATATTAAGACATTTTTCATACTTCAACTTCCCTATAGTCATAAAATAATTAGCACGCATTTTGAGAAATAATTGCTGCTATAGTAAAGCCAGCAACATAAAAAAACCTGGACCATATACTTACTGTTGTGTATCTGCTCGTTTGTTAATTTCCGGTATAACTTCTTTCCGAGGAACTTCGGCGATACAAGTCCTTTCTTAATTAAAACTGTTTGTTCTTTCTTGATACAAATTTTAGTAATACACAGAATTTCCACAGTCACTT